TGGCCCCACAGGGCTTACAAGGCAAGAGACATTTCAGAGGTGGTTTGCCATTGCCTGCCTCCTCATCAAAACCCTGGTATCCCTTGGAGGTCTCCCATCCAAATACTAGCCAGGGCTGACCCTGCTTTGCTTCCGAGATCTAATGAGATTGGGCTAGCCAGGTCAGGGGTGTTCACAGTGTTACTCTTTAGCATTGTTTATATAGAGCAAACAAGTCAGTTTCCGAGGGTACTCTGCTGCTGACCTCAAAACGACATCTGTTATAAAGAGTTTTAAAAGGGAGACTCCAGTGTGAAATTGCTGGGTTAGATTATATCAGTTCTATTCAATGTGCACAACTGCAACTGTGAATGCTGTCACTAAAGGCATTAAATTAGCACAGCATAGCTAATTAAGTATCACCAGTTGCTGCCATTGTGAGTGGGTTGCTTTGTTCTTTTGTTACATATATATTTTTGCAAGGAGCTGAGTAGCATAAATGGTTCCTGGTTCCTGATTTTACCCATATAAGCAGCAGTTAAAGTGGATTGGGCTGAGACAACCTTCCCCCCACACTAGCCCAAACTGCAACTGTCACACAAATCTTGCTTCCTCTATAATTATAAACTTGTATGACTCCCACATCGCACACAATGTCACATTTCCAATGCTATGCATGGTTTCTATGTACAGCTACTCAGATGTGCAAATTTTAATGGGCTCTGTTCTTAGACAAACATGTTGGACTGTAAACTCAAGACCCACACGTGGTCTTGGGTTATCCATGAGCCACAGCAGTGTAAATTATTGATAAAGTGTTAGCTGACAACTCCTTTGCACTGAAGCTATTCAGTTTCTAAAACTGGATATCAAAGGCTAATTTTCTCCCTTTAACCTTTTGGCACTTCTAATTATTTCTAAAGCTTTTTAAAGGTACACTATATGCAAAAACTAATATGCAGTTCCCTGCAGTCTTCTGGGTTCTGATATGATTATTAATAATGACCATTACATACCCTTCTGTGATTTCCAGTTAAGCCTAGCTTTAGTATGGCCAAGGGCTTTTCCACACTGTATCATTTTCACGCTCATTACCTTAGTCTTGATAGAAAAGATGAAAGCACGTAAGGCAAGACAGACTCCCACTTGCAGGGGTTGAAACTGGAAAAGGCAGGCTTACATGGGAGGAAAACAGCAGTGGAAGAGTATTTTTTTTGTTATATTGTTATGTAATTTAGATTATAAATTCTTCAAAGTAGGGGTTTTTATTTTTTTTTCCACCCCACTATAAAGGTGGATAAAGCTGTATGATCCCCTACATCAAGCACATTAGTTGATAGGTGAAGCTTGCCTGATAACAAAAATCAGCACTACGACAAAGATAAGATTAAACAATAAACTATGGGAGTCTCTTCTTCACACCTAGGACAAGAGTAGGGAGTTTCCAGGGACACGTTTCTACATGCAGAACATAAGCTTCATTTACTGGCAAAATAAAATTCTTGGTACTTGTATATCTTCACTCTTCAGATTATTAAATCTTCCATTAAAGCAAGCTAAATTTATGGCTTTGTTTGAACAATATGCTCCCAAGTTTTTCTTACAGTCCGTCTTGTAGTATTATTTAGTTTCCCAAAGCATATGTTGCACAGCAATTCAAAAGTGATTTATTATTCTACCAGTCCAACTGTTAAGGCTGCCTTAGTCTTCAGACAGAAGCTCTATCGGTCTCTATTGGTATCCTGGATATTCAAGCAACTGCAGCCACACTCTATAACTTGTTGGCATTACAGAATTCAAGAACCCTGCAACCAAGCAGAAGTTTTGAAGGGGCATGTAGAGTGCAAGAGCATACCATATATCATTTAATATAAAATAGTGGCTCTTTACATTTGTACAGTATTTATGGCTTACTGAACACAGTTACTATTTGCTCAAGCATAAGTGTCCATACATTGCAAGCAATCCTAATGATTTCATCTTGCATTTCAATTGGTATCTTGCTGATACTGGCACTGGAAACATACTAGCCATTACAGAGTTTGCACATGCTCCAGTGTTTGATAATAAAACCATATTTTGCTACTTTTCCCAGGAACCAGTTCACCAGATGGACTGTGAACCAGAGAGAGTGAGAGAATGGCTATAAGCAGGAATAAGTAACTATTTTTGTCCTCCCAAATGGAAGTCTTTACCTACACAGCTTCCTCCACATTGCTGAATTTGGTTGCTCAGCTGTGTCAAACTATTAATTTCAGATCAAGATGGGTACCCATGTTAGTCTGTCTGTCTAGCAGTAGAAAAGAGGAATAGTACAGTAGCGCCTTAAAGACTAACAAAATTTATGGCAGGGTATGAGCTTTCGTGAGTCACTGCTCACTTCTTCAGATACAGCTAGAATGTGAGTCCATCTGTTCTATATATTGGAAAGTGGAGTGATTTCAGATGCCAAATGACATTAGCAGGCAAATGACAATAGAAGGCATGATTGGATTAGGTGTGATATGCAGAGGGGTAGTTGGTGTGGAGAAATCAGCATTGATAATGAGATAGGAAACGTAGGTCTCGATTCAGTCCAGGAGGATGCATTGTCTTGAGCTTCATATATTAGTTGCGATCAAACAGTATCTCTTTCTAATCTCTCTTTGAAATTCCTTTGTAAGAGAACTGTTACTCTTAGCTCAGCAACTGCATGTCCTGGAAGGTTAAAATGTTCCTACACTGTTTTTTGAATGTTGTGGTTTCTGATGTCAGCCACATGTCCATTTATTCTTTGTCATAGGGACTGGTCTGTTTGCCCACTATAGAGGGTGGAAGGACATTGCTGACACATGATGGGATAAATCACATTAGATGATAAGCAGGAGTATGAATCTGATGGTATGGCTGCCACAAATTTTGTTAGTCTTTAAGGTGCTACTGGACTCTCGCTCTTTGCTACTATTAATTTCAGATCTTAGTGAGTTTAAGTATGATTATAAAAGTACCAGTCTATCTTTCAAAGTGTAAAAGGAATGGCTTGACAAGATGTGGGAGACAGCTGTCATGGATATACTGACATAAGTGTTTAGAGAAGACCAATCAAAGCAATAATTCACAAAAACAGTTAAGAGATTCTAGGCCAGGAGTCACCAATGGGGTGCCCACCAAATATCTTTAGGAACTGGGTGAGTCAGATGGGTCTTTTGCTAAGCAGGACTTCCGAATGAACAGTAGAGATCCAATTCACTGCAGATTTTTTAAAATATTGCTATAGCAGCAGCTGCCACCTCATCACAAGGATCTTCACTGCATGACTGAAGGTATGCAAGAAAATAATTTAAAGCAATATGTTCATGATAAAATGCAACCTGTTAAACAGAGTGTCTGCCAGAAATGTCAGAATTACTGTTAGAGTTATGCATAACCTCATCCCCTGATATTCTGCAGTTGTCTCCACCTCTTTTAGCAGTCATTTTGTGGTTGTACCCACCATCCAAGATGCCCAGAGGCTCAAATATGTTGGGGACCCCAGTTGTAGACACTTCAAGTTATACTGTCATGTAGTTTTAATTCATTTTCACATGTGCATAACTTTGGACTGCAACATGACTTTTGCTATTTACCTTGATCTTGACAGTAATAGCTCTTAGGAGGAACCACGAATGTTCAACAATGATGTGGCTCTTTTCAGTGCTGGCATCGCAGGAAGGAACTGCCTCCTCCCACTAACAGTGGCATGGGACCCAGCCACAGCAAAGTGGCATACAAGAATCAGCTCTTAAGGTAATACCTCAGTATTTTTATATCATGTTGGCTACTACTCACTTTGTATCAAATACCTACATTCCTTCATATCAGCCATTCTCTAGAGAATGAGTTCTTCTTTCAAGCATCTCTAGCCCAGAGGAAATGAGTGGATCAAGGATAGAATTAAAACAAGATGTTTCCAGCATATAGGAACAGCAAAAATCACTGGAAGAACTCACTTTTTTAGAGATCTGAATACATGCAATGCAATTATACTTACATTATAATTGTCCTGATTTGATAAAACTGAATCATTAAAATAAGAAACATTCAAGTGAATGATTTAACAACTGTTATATTATCCTTGAGACAATTCAATGTTTACTCACTGCTAAGATACAATAGCCTGCTCCCATTTAAAAGAAAAACACACACACAGTAAAAAGGCCTTAAGTTAGCAAACAAGAATATAATTTTAAAAATTAAACATTTCAAACTCATGACATCAACTTGCAGTGTTCTGTTTTATGTGAAACTTATTCCAATCATGAATTAAATGATTAAAAAGCTGTTGTTGGTTGTTTTTTTCTAAAGCCCAGAAAAGTCTAAATGAAAGCTCTGGATTTACCTTTGACTGAGAAATGAGTTTTAAGCTACCATTGTAACTCAAGGTACTTAGGAAATAATTCAGTTCAAGAGCAGCCTTTAGAGCCACCACTCAAATTCAATTTCTGTTTCCAAGTTAGATTTTACCAAAAAGCCTAAGGCAGCACCAACAGCAGATTGAGAGAAAAATGTAACAACTGAGCAACAGAACTACAATTGTTTAGTAACAACAAATTAAAACAATGGACAGCAATAGTTGTCTAAGTTTTTTTAAAAAAATATACAACCAGGGAAAATAAATCACTGTACACTACAATTTGGAGGCTGTTAAAGTGACAAATCCATAGAAAGTACAGTGCAAGACATGCTTTCCAGTTACAACTTCAAAGCAGGAGTGCAAAAGAAATTAAAGCTTTGTTATCTGAAGTCAATTTACTTGTTAGGATTTAAGAAGCACTATAATGTAATTATTATAGACAGTTCTTTTAATCTATCAGTGAGAACTTTTCCTGAACATAAACTTTAAAAACTGTAAAGAACACAAGCTGCTTTCCCTCCAGACACCTAACAGTCTTTTGACTGACTTTAAAAACTGTAAAGAACACAGTCCACTTTCCCCCAAAACACCTAACAGCCTTTTGACAGCTGAACCAGCATCAGTAGTGTATAACCAGAAAGCTGCAGGCAAGAGAAGCCACCTCTGAAATCTTGTTCAGATAAGAATATCTGTGATCTACAGGCAACAGAAGTAGCAAATGGCCTGGCTTCTATACGCTCCTGCTATAGTGTGTCAAAACGGCTTCACAAGAAATGAAAACTATGCTAAAAGCATGTGCAGAGTCCTGGCTAAGGAACAAAAGAAAACAAATTCTACAAAAGTTGGGAGAGGCAGATTTAATAGCAACTCCAGGCAAGTGCTTTAGCAAGCTGACTAGGCAATGCATGCACCTATCCATGCAAAGATAAAATTATGGCTCCAGACGCTTAGAAGTAGGGTATGCCTTTGTGAAAATCAGACTGAAGTCAATTGCTTGCTAAATTTACAAAAATATAAATAGCCAGTGCTGTAGCTTAAGAAGTCATCTCTACTTGTTATGTAGACTCCCATGTACATAACCTACTTTTCAGACATTCTAAACAAGGTCACTTGCAATGAAAAAGCCAACCTTTTTTCAAAACAAGATTTTGAAAAGTGGGTCTTTTCAAGTGAACATGACATTTGCTGTTTACCAATTTAAAATAAACCCAGGCTTAATTTGACTAGAAGATACTCCTGCATCAGAAGAGGCATAAACATAAATTTCACTTTAATAATCACCTGCACAGAAAAGTTAACTTTTCAGAACATGATAGAACAGGTCTGGTTAGTACAAATCTGTGGCAAATTATCACAATCCTGTACAGTAGGGCCCACTCAAACAGAAGCAGGGCAGGGGCGAAATGTCTCAGCAATAAGAGAAAATCGTTGTTCAAGTTTATGGTGTTCTGAAGAACCAGCAGGCTAAATGAGACCATGCTGCGAATATCAGTATCCAGACCAGACAACCTGCTTGGGCTACTAAAGCAGTGCATTCTTCTGGGAGGTATCACTTATTCCACAGTTATTTGTTATTCCGCAGGCGTTTTGACTTCCTAAGCGAACCTATTGATTCCACGGCTTTCTTCCGCTTCCTAGGAGTTTCCTCGCTTGGTGCAGACCCTGAGGAACTTCCTACTGCACTTTCCATAACCTCTCGCAGTTTGCGTTCGAGCTCAGCCAGTCGGGCGTTCTGCTCACCTATGATCTGGGTTTGCTCAAGCTGTTTCTGGTCTTGGTCTTGGAGCTGCTTCTGCTGCTCTTGCACTTTGGTGCGCAGCTCAGAAATTTCACGCCTCAGCACAGTCACACCTGCACCATTGGTTTTAACTTGCTGCTGGAGTTTGGTGACCTCCTGCCTTGATGGATTTTGTTTGGAGAAGAGCTGCATTGTTGTTAAGGCTGCAGAAGGACCTGGAACTGCAGGAAGAGAGTTATCAATTTTCCCCTTCCAATTTTGTTCTCTCAAAGTCAAGTTTCTGAGCATCATGGTTCACCCAAAGAGTGATTAACACATGGAATTCACTGCCAAAGGAGGTGGCGGTGGCTACAAGCACAGACGGCTTCAAGAGGGAATTAGAGAAACACATGGAGCAGAGGTCCATCAGTCAGTGGCTATTAGCCACAAGGTAGGAACTCTCAGTCTGGGGCAAGGGATGCACTGTATTCTTGGTGCTTCGGGGTGGGGGCAACAGTGGGAGGGCTTCTAGTGTCCTGCCCCACTGCTAGACCTTCTGATGGCACCTGGTATTTTTGGCCACTGTTTGACAGAGTGTTGGACTGGATCCAACATTGGCTTCTCTTATGTTCTTATGGTTTGTAAAGTGAATGTGAACATGCAAATATCTACAGCTATTATTATATTATTTTTTACAGGTTTAGTTAGAAAATAATTTAAGAGCAGCCCTGCTGATCCACCTAGTCCAGAATCGTGTTTCAACCATTGCCCTGAGGACCAGACAGGACACAAACACAAAGGTCTTTCCATAATGCTGCCTCCTAGTGCTGGTGTTCAGGGGCTTACTGCCTCTGCATTCCTTTAGTCATGTGAATAAGCACTGACGGATAGGGATGTGTGCTCTGATAGTTTCAGTCTGAATGCATTTCCTTTTAAGTATTTTTCAGGTACCAGGAGCAGTATTCAGGATTCCTGGAATACCGGTAACTGGGTCCCATATATGTCCAGAAATATTTAGGAATCTCTGGGGCTGGCATTTTAAGGCCTGTCTTTCTTACATTTGACAGGTGCCTTGGACAATGAAAGGGAGGCAGCCCACCCAGGGAATGGGATGAGATGGTAGGGGAAACACAAGAACTGTCTGCACAATCACAATTATTCTCTCGCAGCCCCCCATCGCTCTCTGAGCATGGACAAAAAGGATAAAAGCAGATCTGGCTGCAGCTTTAATCCATTTCAGGGCAAGATCTTTTGGACTGGTGTCCTGCACTGCTGTGCTCTAGTCTGTCTGTCCCTGAGTTTAATTCTGTTGCTTGCCTACAAGACCTTCTTGTTCTGTGCCTGGGCACCAAGAGGACTGGTTTGCCCACAGAGGACTTACGCGTTTGGCTATTGGCTTCTTTGCCCTGGAAAAAGCATGACATTTTCTTCCCAAAAGAAACAAAGGAGACAAGCAAGATGGCTGAAGACACCTTGTTCAAGGCCCCATAGAACTGGACTCCTTGATCCAATTCACTGGAAAGGGGAGGGGGGATCTTTAGTAGACAAGCAGGATTAAGTTCCTTGCCATTTTGGTATCATTTGCTTGAAAAATAGCCGCCCCGGATGATGGACCCTATCATAGGCCATTGGCAGGATGCTGGGTCTGCTCCACTCCCCTGCCCACTGCCGGCCAGGACACTCTTCCCTCACAGAATTCACTATCTAAATGGCTGTCCCTTCTTAATAAGACACTTCTCCTCCTTGGCTCCTGTGGGACTAACTATTCCTTCAGTGGCTGTTGCTAGGCAACCAAGCTTGGCTCTGTCAGTAAAAAGGCAAAGGAAGGAAGCCCTTTCCAGGCATTTGTGAGGAACTCATTGGGGCCAGTCTTGACTAGGGTTGCCAGTTCCAGGTTGGGAAATTCCTGGATATTCTGTGGTGGAGTCTAAGGAAGCCAGAGTTTCAAGAGGGGAGAGGCCTCAGCTGAATAGAATGCCACAGAGCCCACCCTCCAAAGCAGTTATTTTCTCCAGCGGGGGAGAGATCTATCGTCTGGAGTTCAGTTGTGACACCCGGCGATCTTCAGGATCCACCTGGAGGTTGGCTACCCTAGGCATAGCAGTTAGTGCTTCAGAGCAGGGTCTGCTAGATCCAGGTTCTTGCTGTGGAAGTTGAGTGGCTGATTTCGGACCAGTCACAGACTTTCAGCCTAACCTACCTCACAGGGTTGTTGTGCAGATCAAAAGGGGGAGACAAGAATGATGTAAGCTGCTTTGGTCTCCTTTGTGGAAAAAGACTGTACTTTTCCTCCTGGGAAATCACTGCTGCCAATCTCCAGGTGAGGGCTGGAGATAACTCAGAATTAAAACTGCTCTCCAGATGGTAGAGATCAGAGGCAGATAACAGCAGGTTGATGGTTGGCTGGGAAGGAGATAGGGTTGCCAACTCCAGGTTGGGAAATTCCTGACGATTTGAGGGGTGGAGGTTGAAGTGGGTGGGGTTTGAGGAGGGGTGGGACCTTAGGTACAATACCATAGACTCCACTCTCCAAACCAGCCATTTCCTCCTGGGGGACCATTGCTGCCAACCTCCAGGTGAGGGCTGGAGATCACTCAGAATTACAACTGCTCTCCTGATGGCAAAGATCAGCTCCCCTAGAGAAAATGGCTACTTTGCAGGGTGCACTCTGTGTCATTATACCTTGCTGAGGTCACTTCCCTCCTGCTTGGGTCCCCACTGCGGAGAAAGACTGTAGTTTTCCTAGGCAGAGGCTACAGGATGGGGGGAGATGGAAAGCTGCAGTCAGAGGGGCAGATAAAGGTAGATTAATGGTTGGCTGGAAAGGAGACAGGGTTGCCACCTCCAGGTTGGGAGATTCCTGGAGATTTGAGGGATGGAGCCTGGAGAGGGTGGGGTTTGTGAAGGGGTGGGACCTCAGACAGGTACAATCCCATAGACTCCACCCTCCAAACACGCCATTTCCTCCTGGGAAATCACTGTTGCCAATCTCCAGGTGAGGGCTGGAGATCACTCAGAATTACAACTGCTCTCCAGATGGCGGATATCAGTTCCCGCAGATAAAATGGTGGGCTCTGTGTCATTATACCCTGCTGAGGTGGCCCCCACAAGACAGCCAGTGTGACGTAGCAGTTAGTGTTCACAGCAGGGTCTTCCAGACCCAGGTTCTTCCTGTGGAACCTGACTGGGTGATTTCAGACCACTCACAAACTTTCAGGCTAACCTACCTCACAAGGTTGTTGTTCAAATCAAAAGGGGGAGAGGAGAATGATGTGAGCCACTTTGGTCACCACTGTGGAGAAAGACTGTACTTTTCCTAAGTAAAGGCTACATGGAGGGGGGAAGAGATGGAAACCTGAAGTTAGAGGGGCAGATAACGATATGCTGAGAAGGAAATAGGGTTGCCACCTCCAGGTTGGGAAATTCCTTGAAATTTGAGGGGCAGAGCCTGGAGAGGGTGGGCTTTGAGGAATGGGACCTCAGACAGGTAAAATGCTATAGACTCCATCCTCCAAACCAGCAATTTCCTCCTGGGGAACCATTGCTGCCATTCTCCAAGTGAGGGCTGGAGATCACTCAGAATTAAAACTGCTCTCCAGATGGCAGAGATCAGTTCCCCTGAGCCTGCTTTGGTGGGGAGGGCAGGGTACAAATTGAATAAAATGAATAAATAAATAAAATGACTGCTTTGCAGGGTGGACTCTGAGTCATTATACCCTGCTGAAGTTGCTTCCCCTCCTGCTCGGGTCTCCACTGAGGAGGAGAAAGACTACTTTTCCTAGGTAGAGGCTCCAGGTGTGTGTGGGGGGAGATGGAAAGCTGAAGTCAGAGGGGTAGATAACCGTACATTGATGGTTGGCTGAAAAGGATTGCTACCTCCAAGACAGGTACAATGCCATAGACTCTACCCTCCTAACCAGCCATTTCCTCCTGGGCGACTATTGGTGCCAATCTCCAAGGGAGGGCTGGAGATCACTCAGAATTACAACTGCTCTTCAGATGGCAGAGATCAGCTCCCCTGGAGAAAACAGTAAGCTCTGTGTAATTATACCCTGCAGAGGTCACCAGAGCAAAGTGACACTGAGTGCTCAAGAGCAGGGCACCCACCCAGAGCCTCTTTCTAGATCTCATTGTATTTATTTCCACAACAAGTCTTATTCCTAGTAGGGAATAATGCCCCCCATCAGAATTTGTTTTTTAAAAACCACAACGAATAAGGACCCCCCCCCCCCCAGTTTGAATACCGAAATGGTACTGGGGACCCAAATAACCCAGAGTACCAGTATGGAACCTGTTCCCCAAAACCAAAAATCACCAAACTTTTTCAAGTGCACATCCCTACTGATGGATTTATTCTCCATAAATCTGTCTATTCTCTTTTAAAGCCATTCATACTTCTGGCCATCATTATACCCACTGGAAGTGAATGCCACAATTACTAGTTGAGTGTGTATTACTTCCTTCAGTCCATCCTGAATCTATTGCCCATCAACCTTACTGTGGATTTCCACATTCTAGTACAGAGGTCCCCAACATGGTGCCTACTGTAGGTTCCTGGGGCCCATTAAATGTTTTTAGAAAATGAGTGGGGCCACATGGGGTTTAGTCTAAGGCTGAAAAATGTTGCTTTAGCAGCCGCTGCCACCACAACACAAGGATCTTCACTGTGTGTCTAAAGATATGCTGTGGCAGCCATTTTGTGACTGCACTGTGATAGAATTCCAATGGTGCCCACAGGCTCAAAAAGGTTGGGGCTCCCATTTCTAGTATTATGGCAGAAGAAGAAACATTTCTACCCATACAGGTATTAGCTAGCTTAGCCTAACTAGTGAATGGTCTCTGCAGTTTTGCTGCTTATGTCTGAATTTTACATAATTACATTTCACCTTGTACTTCCTCCATTTCATGATCCCTTAATACTGATGTTTAATTTTTTTCATACCCCTATATAAAACAACTGCATAGTCAGGATCCATTCATTACATCTGAAGAACTGGGCTCTAGATCAGAAAACATTATGTCGGAAGCAAATTTTGTTATATATTCCAATAAAATGCTGGACATTGATTGGAATGGAAAAATGGAGGAAGGAGGAAAGAAAATGGCCTATGTTCTCCTACCAGATTATACTTGAAGCGGAGAATCGGGATCATGAATACATACTGTCTGAGAGGTGTTCACCACCCAACCTTAATTCTCCCTTGCCCTCCAGTTCAGGGCACTGAAGTTAATTTAAATATTTTTATCCTGCCTTTCTCCCTAGTGGGGAACCCAAACCAGCTTACACAATACAAAAATACAATTTAAGTCAACAAACTGAAAAAACGAACAGTACAATGCACCACATTCTGGGCTAGTCCTAGATCTGCTGGCCCCATTTACTCAGGACCAGAGGAGACAAGCCACAGGCTAAGAGCCAAGGAACCTCTGGCTCTTGTCCTTTGGCCAATGCCTATGGCCACACCCTCTAGCTAAATACCTGAAACAGAGGAGGAGCAAAAGTTTAGTCCAGATCTCATTCAACTGGTTTAAAGTAATCCAAATAAAGTAATCCAAATAAGAACCAGAAAAGATAAGAACCAGCTTCTTCTAAGTCCTAATTTATCACAGCTCCCCCTCCCCCAGACATTAAGCTGTTAGTGACTGTCCCTGTTTGCCACCTGGAGTACCCTGGAATGAGAGGTGACTATAGGGTCAGAGGACAGGCAGCCTAAGAGTTGGAAGAATTAAAAAGATTCTTCTCCCTGCTCACACATTTGGGGCTGAATGAGTATCTTCCTGTTCACTAAGTCCTGAACCTCAGGGGTTGGGGCTATAAAGTTATAAAAATGCAGCAACCCTACACTGGAAAGGTCCAGAGCTAGCTGCAAAAAAACCCCCTTTGCATCTAGCCCTGGACGTGAGCAGTCTTCTCCCGACCCTCAGTGCAATTTTCCAAATATTTGTGTTCCCTGTGATCACTTGCTAGTCTCCAAACTATGTACAGCTATTTTAAAATACTCTGTTTCAGAGGAGGCAAGAAGTCACGAGAAAGTAGAATGCTACAGCTTCCCATCAGCAACACAGACAAACAGCTCAAAGGCACTGGAAAAGGTACCTGGTGCTGCTGCGATAAGACGTCCTGATACATCTGATCCTGGCAACTTTCTTTTTAGAATTGGAACAATCTTCTCATCAAAATATTCCATTGCCATAGATGAAATGTCCCTTAACTCCTGAAGGACCTCATGGGCTCTCTGAGGAGCTTTGGTAGAGTTTACATACCTTAACACACGATAAATTTCATCAATTACCTGAAACACATGGTTAAAAAAAATGAGACATGGTTACTGAGTATTCTTCTCAATTAGCAACAATGATATTTTAAATATTTTTAATTAGTGATCTGAAATCACTAGGGAAATATTATGTCATTTATAGCTTGTTTTATTTGCTGGAATAGCAAATCTGAGGATTGGCAACCGGGCAATTTTAAGAAGCATTTCATAAATGTCTTCATTCTGTGTGGCATAAGACCAGTTCTAACAAGAAAGTCAATTTATCATTAAGAAAGGAACAACAGTATTTTATACAGTAACATTCAGATGGCATCTGAGAGAGGTGCCCACAGAATTGCTCCTAGCACTAAGAATGTATTACTTTGCTATATTACTTTGTATTAGACCACACTTTGCTATATTAGACTTTGTACTTTACCTTCCCAGGTATAAAGCAGCAGAGGTTTGAATCCACATACTTCATGAACTTCATATTTAGCGAGGACAGCCTTGTTTCTACAGCAGCAAGAATATCTGCATGGCGAGCTAGTGAATGATTTCTCCTTTCTGATTCTCGTCTAAAAACAAGTGACAGAAAAACCATCGAGTTACATAGGAAAAGAAAATCTTCTATTCTTACAGGGCCAGGTTTATTTGGGGCCCAAACATCTGCACAGATTGGCTTCAACACTGATGTTTGTTATAAAAACTGAAGCAAAACCACCAAAGCCATTTCATTTTTGCTCAAAAACACAACTTTTAACTGCTGCAACTGAATTAGCATCGACCTAAATTTGAAATACCTCCCAAATATGCTTCTGAAAAGGGGTACACTGTTCTAGTAAGTATCTAGGAAGATTCCACATTTTAAAAAACATAATCTACTTATGAAAAGTCCAGTTCTGACACAAAGGCATAACTCAGAAACTACATCACGGTTTGGCACTGCATTACACAAATAAGACCTCTGCTTGTGCACCCCTTTCCCCTAACCTCTGATAATGCAACTTAGTAATTTGCAAACCCGGTTTGGAGAGACAGCACACAAGCCATAGTTTCAGAATTTACATCAAACTCCAGTTAGCCCTTAAGTAGAAATAGACTCTAATTGTGGAAGGAGAGGTGGTGCACATGGAATATTCATTCACGTAATCTGGTGTTATGTCTGAACTATGCTACACCAGGAAGACTGTGTTCTACTGGAGGGTGTGTGTGTGTAATACAGTGCATTGAACAGGGACTATATCAGGGGTGTCAAACATAAGGCTCGGGGGCCGGAATGGTCCTGTCCCAGGCTCTTATGTGGCCTGCGAGCAAATAGTGCAAGGGAGAGAGTATTGGGGGAGAGTGGGCGGAGCCACTTCATTGTGGCTTCAAGTGCAGCAGAGCAACCTTATCTGCAGCAGTCAAGCATTGTGGGAGCATCTGCCCAGTTGCCTCTCCAGTCTGCCTATGTGGGTTTTCCTCTGCACCCCGCCCCCCCCCCCAGCCCATGGAGCCTTGCAGTGAGGATACACCAACTCAGAGCTCTGGCTCCTTTATACAGTTTCTATCTCCGGTACCTAGCATTATGTGTTATGGCACACATGGCCCGGCCTGACAAAGTGACATTTATGTCAGATGCAGCCCTTGTAACAAATGAGTTTGGCACCTCTGGACTATATGGACTATAGACCACTATATGGTAGACTTACTGGGAAATCAAACATTTTCATATATGGAAGGTTATACCCCCTGAAACTAATGTATCTCGATGTCTCTGGGAAACACTCCAACTGCTATGTCAACATTGACATCTTGGTTGACCTCTGGGATGGGGAAATTGACAGGGCAGTTGCCACTATTGCCCCTAAATGTCCCCTCCTACATGCAAGATCCCACTCAGCTCTTCTAAGAGGGCTTGGTGCAATGATAAAAGTTGGAGCAGCTGGAGAGTTTGTGGAGAACGACCTGTGATGAAGCCAAACAACTCAGACTGGAGCTCATTTTAGGGATTATTTGGGGCAGTGATGGCAGCCCAGAAATCTTTTTTCCCACTACAACCATGCCCCTACAGTGCTAGCCAGAGCAGCTTTGAGTGGCAATGGTGTGCTGCGATTGATCCTTCAAGGCATTCTGTTAATAAAACTGCATTTTCTGCTCCAGTTTGTTACAGAATCAGTCCAGGACACTCCCCCTTCGCTCCTCCTCCTCATGTTTGTAAGAATACTTCTCAATTTGTGCAGGCTGATGGTTAATCTGCTGCTTTGACATTATAACCTTGTTACTATTTTAGTGTTTATTACCAGTTTACCAACCTGAGGGACCCAATTCTCGAGGAAAGATGGGCCAATATTTTTATGTGTGGGGCAAAAAAATGTATCATAAGCAACTAAATAATCATTGCCGCCAGTACACAATCTTTACATGCATAATAAAATATACATAATGCAGTTTCTGATCGCAAACACATTCAGTATTACTATACCATGCCATCATTGGAACGCTTCCTTGTAAGGCAAAGTGGAGGTTAAAAGACAGGCACAAGCAGCGGAGAAAATGACCCTCCTTCCCCACCCACAAAATAATTCTCGGTGTAGAGCTGTACAGCAATGATATTTATTGATTTGATTTATACCCCGCCCTCCTCACTGAAGCAGGCTTAGGGCGGTTTACAGAAACATTTTTAAAAAGAACAAATATAAATATGAATATAAAACTCATCATAAAGTGCTAGTAGGCAATTTGTATAACACTGGCGAGGCATTAGTAGCAATCAATTACAATAGGGAGTGCAGTCGGCATTTGGTGTTAGGACTGACATCTCAGTTCAGTTCATGTCGGTGGGGCACAGGCTATTAGGGCACAGGTCTTAAGTTTATTAGATGCGGCTCCTTAGTCAAATGCCTGGTGGAAGGGCTCCATCTTGCAGGCCCTGCGGAACTGTAAAAGGTCCTCCACAGCCCTAGTGCCTTCCAGGAGCTTGTTCCACCAGCATGGAGACACCACCGAGAAGGCCCTGGCCCAAGTCAGCCTGACATTTTTTGGACCTGGGAGGGCTCGACGGTTTTGAGACCCTGAATGCAGTGCTCTCTGGGGGATATGTGGGAAAAGGCAGTCCCTCAGGTATGTAGGCCCCTGACCATAAAGGGCTTTAAAGGTAAGAACCAGCACCTTGAAGCGAATTCGGTACGTTACAGGCAGCCAGTGCAGTGCTTTTAGCGCAGGCTGGATGTGCTCCTTATGGGGAGGCCCAACAGCAGCCTGGCCTCAGTGTTCTGCACCAGATGAAGCTTCCAGATTTGGGATAAGGGCAGCCCCATTACAGTAGTCTAATCTCGAGGTGACCATCACATGGATCACTGCTCCCAAGTCGTTGCGTTCGAGGAAGGGAACCAACTGCCTGATCAGTCAAAGGTGATAAAAAGTTGACTTAGCAATGGCTGCTACCTGGGCCTCCATCGTTAGGTAGGCATCCAAGAGCACTCCCAAATGCCTAACCTCCAGTGCTGGGACCAGTGGTACCCCACTGAAGGTCAGGAATGGGATCCCTAACCCTGGACTGCCCCGACTCAGGCACAGGACCTCCATCTTCGTCGGATTCGATTTCAGTCGGCTCAGTCTAAGCCAGCCAGCCACAGCTTGCAACGCCAGGTCCCTATCCTCCGGTCTAGAGTCAGACTGGCTGCCCAACAGCAGATAGAGCTGAGTGTCATCCGCATACTGGTGACATCCCAGCCCATGCCTCTGGGGCAATCTGGGCAAGGGGGCACATATAGATGTTAAATAACATCGGGGAAAGTTCCACCCCTTGGGGCACTCCGCAAACCAGTGGGTGCCTTTGGGACAGCCATTCCCCTAATGCCATCCTTTGTCCCCAACCCTGAAGGAACGAGGAAAGCCACTGCAAGGCAGACCCCTGAATCCCAGTGTTGGCAAGACGGTGGATCAGTAGCTGATGGTCAACCGTGTAATAGTGGAGACGGAGACTTGTGGACCTACTGCATGGCCACACCATTCATGCTGGTCTATTAGGAACATACTTCATCACTGCCATGAAACCTTCTGGCAGAAGACAATGGAGACCCTTTAAAGCTCTGCCCTTCAAATAAGCTTCATAAGCCATGACAAGCAGTTTTTCTTTTTGTAAACTGTACACACAGAGGGGTGGGGGCATACCTTGGAAGCTGTGCTTTAACTTGTTTCTGGCACAAATTGTGGTATCTTTCCACTTTCAGAAATCCCTGATTCAGCATTCTCTGGCAGACTAAGTCCATCCGCTTACATACCTACATGGAAAATACAAAACATAAAAAACTTCAGATGTCTCCTTAAAATAGTTAATAAGCCAAGAGCACTTTTATGACTAACCAGCTAATGTTACGCACTACTTTTCTTTTGTACTGTGGCACAATTCCATGGGAAGCTGAATTCCAGCTACAGAGACAAGCACACCAGCCTTTGGCTTTCCAAGTCTTTGCTTCCATCTTCATCTCGTTCCATATTTTTAGGAACCGTTCACTGCAGTTCAAAGTACAGTCTCAAGTGACATCCCTATTAGCTTCCTGACAAAATCTTTCAAAGAACGAGGACTTCCAATATACACAGCATGCATCATTCCCACCATATGGAGAGATCTTTTAAAACGATGACAAAAATCATTTAAAAAACACATAAAAACAAAATGTATACAGCTCCTTTAATAAATGTTTCATTTGTCTTTATTCCAATAAGGTAGATTGATCAATACACAGAAGTTCCTTGTACATTCACTCCTCTCACATCTGGTGTTGCTGAAGTTTTAGAAGTCTAAAAGAACCAACTAAGCATTTTTTTCATACTGTGCATATTTAGTCAGGGACAGCTGCTTTTCTTACAGTAAAGCAGTTTCAGGAAGGGGCAATTTTAAACCAATAGTGGGTGGAAAGAATGACCAAACCTTTCCCAACATGCCACTTTTCTTCTACAGGGTTTTAGATCTGTTGACCATTGCAAATTGATTTCAGGAACCCCAAAAAAGGAAAAACAGCTGAAGGAGAAGGGAGAAGAAAGAGCTGTATGAGGAAAATAGCAGGTGGAGAAGGGTAAAGTACAAGAATAATAACTATGATCAATACTGACTTGGGATGAATCTAGAAATTGTTCTATAAGGTCATGGCAAGTCTTTTTAGCATTGGCACAGAAAGACACAACATAAAATCCAAACTCAGCACTGGGACTTTAAATTGCTAGTTTGGAACGCTGTGCCTCCAACAGGAACACCTAACAAGGTAAGCAGGGTGAAGAAGACTACAGAAGTATTTGGCACATCTGATGAACTGAATGCCAAATGAAAGAGATTTAAAAGATTCTAGGACAGGGTGTTCAAATGCTTATTCATGTATCATGGCAAGACAGAATACTGCAACACAGAAAACCACCAACATCTATATTTGAGTCCAAGAACAGTCCAGTGGCATACAAGCCAAACAAAGGATCAGTTGTAGTGATCACACATTCCCTTTTACACATACCTTTCCACTGTCCCCAACCTGATCCTAATGTAATCTGTTCCTTACAATAGTACAGAACAAAAACAAAACTAATTTCTTAGGTATGCCAACTAGTCTAATTGTACATTCTAAGTTATTTGGAATGTTATGCTATTAAAGCAGTAATGCTAAGGCTTTACTATATATATAATTTTATGCTTCTGTTAAATTGGTGAGGTTATTGGGTGTTCCTTCTTTCAAAGTGTTTTTATTACTACCTCTTCATAGAGAATGGACCCTTCATTTCATTATTTCAAAGTGCTTTAATTGCCCATTCATAGAGCTGGATCCTTCATGTTCTATTCTAAAGGCTTGAGAGTTATGTCCTTGGGCCACATCTACATTTTCATTCCCTTTTGGTGTAGTCAGCAGAGGAATTTGTCCTTTAATATCATCTACCCAGTCAGAACACACTTCAAACAGCCCCTGTAATATTTCGCTCCCAAAGTGAAAAATAGACTTGCTTGCTATGTTTTAGTTCTTTTGCATTCTCCGTCTGTCTTCTTTACCTCCTTCACATTTGTTTAATTCCCTCCCCAAAATAGAAAAAAGGGGAAAAGAACCTTAAAATCCAACAGCTAAATAAGATTTTTTAAAAAGAAAAAAGATATACATAAAGACAACAGAAAAGTATAACAGTGGAGTTGACCAACACATTTCTATAAATGGTTTCCAAATTTTAAAAAATAAGTCCATATGCAATTGCTGTCTATATGCTATCCGTTCAAATGTTGATAGGTCCTCAATCCACTGATTTACCGTAGCTGGGGTTTTAGATTTCCTATGTCGTAATACAAGTCTTTCAGCTGTGGTAAGGACATGGAAGGCCCATTTCATTGACCATCAATTAGTCTTCAAGTATTTGAAGGGCTGTCATGTAGAAGGTGGAGCATATCTATTCTCTCTTGCTCCGGATTGCAAGACTAGATCTAATGGGTGGAAATTACAAGGGAGTCGTTACCGGCTAAATATCAGGAGAAACTTCCTCACTGTAAGAGTGGTTGAGCAGTGGAACAGTCTGCCTCAGGAGGTGGTGGATGCACCTTCGCTGGAAGTTTTCAAGCGGAGGCTGGATGGCCATCTTTCAGGTATGTTGTAAGGCTATCTTTTGGCTATGCTCCTGCAGAGTGCAGGGGGTTGGACTAGATGACCTGCAAGGTCCCTTCCAACTCTAACATTCTATGATTCTATAGACCCTCCAAGAGATGGATAGATAGGTTAAAAGTACATAAGCATCCTTGGAAATCAATTAACATTCTAAGATGAAACTGATATGAGTAAACTTCTTCCCAGACTGGACATGCCGTGTTCCCTCTAAGATGTTTAGTATCAAACAATCATGAATCAGAAATAAGGCACTGTATCACACAGTGGCCAGAAATACCAGTGCCATCAGGAGGTCCATCAGTGGGGCCATGACATTAGAAGCCCTCCCACTGTTGACCCCCCCCCCCAGCACCAAGATGATAGAGCATCACTTGCCCCAGAGTCCCTATCTATACCTTGTGGCTAATAGCCACTGATGGACCTCTGCTCCATATGCTTATCTAATTCCCTTTTGAAGCCGTCCATGCTTGTAGCCACCACCACTTCCTGTAGCAGTGAATTCCATGTGTTAATCATTCTTTGGGTGAAGAAGTACTTCCTTCTATCCGTTCTAACCAGACCGCTCAGCAATTTCATGGAGTGCCCACGGGTTCTTGTGAACTGGTTCTACTACAACACCAAAATCTCACTATTTAATCAGATCTGACTTCTCCACCCTATACCAAAAATGAAGTTGACTTTCTTGAAGGAGAGATGTCACCAAATTGCAGGACTAGACTGCCATCTAGTGGCATAGTATTGTAGCCACAGCTGAAGCCCCATGTACGAGCTTTTCTGTAAGAACTGATAATCGGAGACCAACACGATCTGGTTTAGTATCTAAAATGTGTGTGTGGTTATGTATTGTTTGAATGATATATATTCCCCAGTAAAAATACATTATATTTTACTGAATACAGTCTCTGTGTCTGTTCTGGTACTTACAGCAAAGGTGGGACTTCTGTATACATTGGTGTGAATCCTAATTTGCCTATTGCCAATTAATAATCATAACCTCCCATAGACTAATTGATAATTCAAGGCAATTTGGCTAACAGTACACTGTCAACTGCCTGTAGAAGAAACCAACGGATAAGAACTCTTTCCTAAATTTTAGAAGTCATCATCCTGCTTATATTAAAAACAATCTGCCTTTCAGTCAGATTCTGAGAACTAGGAAGAACTGCAGTAACATTCAGGATTTCCATAGAGAAGCTCTCATTTTGAGGCACAATCTGGCAATGAAAGGGTGTCCTAAGAGGACACCGCAAGCTGTGTAGCTCAAGGCCACATCACTGGTAGTTGTAGAGCTTACTTCCAAATGCATCTCCTTGAATTCCAAATGTCCTGCTTCTCCAACTTCATGGGCTATGAGAAGATCCTTAGCCACATCAAGGTAGGCTACAACATCAATGGGCAAGCTAGCCAAATCTACCCAATGGCTCGCTGGATTCAGCCAATTGTTTGTCATCAGGCTAACTAAAGCTTTGACATTTACCTTGTCCTTTTAAAAATTTTTAGTCAGATGGAAATCTGGACGCATCGGCTTACTGTTACATTGACCAACCATTCCTCTCAACTACTTCAGAAACATGATGTCAGATAGTACTTACTGACAGCTCCTGGATTGTGGCTAAATCCCCCTAGCGTTTGAGTATCTTTTTTCACTGTTTCTTTCATTGTCTGTTCTACAGGAATTTGCACAAATGGGTTGCTAAATCCGAACTGTGCTGAAGATCCACCTTGCATGAAATACTCACGTATGTCTGGATGTTCAAGGGGAAAATATGGAAGGCAGCAGGCATTATTCAGTCTGTCACAGGCAAAGAGCCATGGGATCACTGTCCAGATGCATGTCAAGTGATGCTTCCAATCACCTTCTCATGAGGCTCTAATTAAGCTCAGAAGAATTTCTACCATGTCCAGATAGGATACCCAGAACACTTAACAGATTTTCACTTCCATATCTGAGGCAATAATAGTAGCCTTCAAAGGGCTCCATAACCCTTGAACATGATCAAAAACTTCCTTCGGTAAAACTGTGTACGTTGACAAACGTTGCTTAAGCTGTTCACCGTTTCATCCAAATAAACAATGTCTTCTCCATGAATGTCCTTCAACCATGACCAGAAAACTTTGTGCTTCATAAACTACTTTGTGAAGTCTGATTGTACGATTATACTTATGACCATCTGTTACCTCAGCTACTGAACTGTCTGCAATTGTGCCCGTCTCAATGCACAAATCCCACGGCCCTGCATCTTGAAATGGCTTACTGATGATGGCCCCCAAAAAGTGCATATAGTGTGATACACACCCATTCTATGCTTACATTTTTCTGGATGCTTCCACATGAATTCTACAGGTTTTGCATTAAGTGTCTAATCAAACACACACAATCTGGGACAACTGCAGAGACTGCATGATGCTGATAGAAACCAGACCTCATAAACAGTTGACATTTCAGTTGCAGAAGAATTTATTGTGGGCAATAGCCAATATTGTCTTGCACAACTCTAACATAATAGACAAGGATGTTGCATGTTGGATTGGATTTCATGGTTTGACATGCATGCCAGAAGCCCTATGAGACTCTTCTGCAAAGCATGGTAGAACTATGTCTTGGTGTCTACCTATTGGTGGACTCTCCCCTCTTGCAGTGTTGTACCCTG